CATAGCTTTGATTCTTGATCACCAGGGACTCGTTGCAGAAGTTCCTCGGGCTGCTGTAGAATCTGCGTAAGTTTCAGTTATGTTTCTCTCACTTCTCTCAGTGACTCTAGATAGGTGTATGATACGTCAACCGAGCAGTGAGAGGACTTAGCGGTCTAAATAACCTACATCCCATCAATGTAGGTAACCAATTACCTAATGCTGACTAAGTTCTAATACTTAGTCAGCCTATTGATTTGCACCACTTAAATTACTATTGTTATTATATAATAATAGACTTAATAATAATAATAACAATATAGGGAAAACGTTACATTATGTGTATTGGTTCATACAGTTATGTACATTTTTTATAGAATTATGTACATTCTTTTTATACAATTATGTACATCCGAATCAGAAAATTTATGTGTATTATGTTAATAGTTGATGTGTATTATGTTAAAAGTTTATGTTTATTATGTATTATGTTAGATTATGTGTATTATCTTTTAAAAAGAGTGTATATTTTGTTATATAATTATGTACATTCATGTATACAATTATGCGTATTCTAGTATAACATTATGTACATTCTTGAACAGCGGGTTTTTTTTAAAGAAAAAACTACTGCCATTCACTGGGACAGGAAATTTCAAAAAAAAAAAATAAAATAAAATGATGTCGTTTTGCATCTGGGTGCATATTGCAACGCGCGCCGTGGTGTAGGATATAAATTGCCCTTTTTAATCGTGCCAAACAAGCTTGTTTAAAATGTTTAAGAAAGTAAAAATAAAATAATAAAAGGTAAAACTCGAACTCAAGCTCCACAGGATCCAAACGCACTTTGAGATCTATAAGATCACCATTTACGCAATAAGAAACTTATGGCTAATGTTGGATTTTATAATTAAAGATTAGAATACTTAAATAAAAACAAAACAAAAAGTGGGATGGGAGAGGATCGAACTCTCGACCTCTGGAAACACCTCACCGAGCGGTGAATTTGCTTAACAATTCGTTAAGCACTACGAGCCCAGCGCGCTAGCCAACTGCGCCACCACCCCAAATGTAAACATTGATCAATTCTTTTTAATTTAACCAAAAACAATTAAAGAAATATATTAATTAACAGAAAATTAATTAGTCTTACATTATCTACTTTCAAAGAAAAACCAATTAAAGAAATCTATTAATTAACAGAAAATTAAGAAGCCTTACATTACCAGGACTATGTGGTCCAATGGTACCCGGGTTGGACTTCTATTAGGAAGGTTGTGAGTTTAAGCCTCAGTGGAGGCGTTATTAGCTCTCTGTGTTTCAGTAGGTTGAGAAAGTATATGAACAGATACTACAATGTAATAGAGCTAGTAGCATTCAAAAAAAGAAGCCTTACATTATCTTCTCACCGCTTTTCTCTCTTCTTTATTTACAATAATATTTATTATATTATTATAAAATATATAATTGTAATATTGTGAATTTATATATTATAATGTTTTAATTTATAAATTACTACTACTTTTATAATCACTTTATTATGTAGTGCGGTATTAGCATGTTGATCTTTATACATACCCATTATTCTTTACAATTTCAAATCTAACCAAATAATAAAATTAATATTTTAATAATTTCTTTCATACCAACAAAATAATAGAATCAATGTTCTAAGTAGAATTTAAATTACATTCCTATTCAATTTATAATATTATGACTATATTAGGTATAAAATATATTTTTTAAAAAATAAAAAAGCTCAACTAGTCTCTTGAACTAGTTGAGCCGAGTATTAAGAGGCTTGAATTCGGCTCGACTCATTACTTGAACTAATTGAGTTCAAGCTCGGTTCAATAGTAACTGAATCAAATTTAAATATTAATCGAATTAAGTTTGAATAATTCGCAAATAACTTGATTTATTTACACTCTGTAACACCCCCAATTTTAAAAATCGAAATATTAATATAAGAGACATATATTTAATGAGAAGAGATGATTTGAATGCGGAAGTAAAAATGACATTTTTGCACTATTCAAATATTTTTGATTCCGCATTTCAAATCCTCTCTTTTCATTAAATATATGTCTTTTATGGATAATAACGACATGCATGGATCAAATTGATTTTGCAATATAAAACAACTTGTCACACTTTTAATCTCCTCCTCTCATTGGTTATGATTGTTGGAAAAATGTCCACGTCAGTATGTTCACATTTTTTGGATGAGATTAAATTTCCTTCAATTTCAATGTAGACTATGCATGTGTTTGGTTCATAGGTTGGACATAAGGAATGGGAATAAAAACTTATATATTTTGTTTAATTGACAATTTTTAAAAATATAAGTATATGATTTATCGATTTGATTATTCATATAATTAAAAAATACATTACTTAACTTAAATTAAGTATCATTTTATTAATTCAGTGTTATCTCTTATCATTTCATTGTCTCCTCATTTCGTCGCCTCCTCACTACATAGGATTAGTATTTTTAGATTTTTGTTTTGATTTTTAGTTTATATTGGTGCTTTGGATGTCATCATATTAGAATCAATTGTCTTTGATTTTTTGTTTTGTTTTTGTTTTTTTTTTTTGTTTTTGTATTTTTAAAACATTTATTCCAATTATAGGGTTATACATAACCAAACAACAATATTAGTAATCATTCCAAATTTAATTAACTTACTACTAAACATGCAAAATACATTCACCAAAGCCTATTCCAATTACAAGTATCTTTTCCCATTCTGATTTTGATTCCCATATTCGAACGAAATACACCCTATGTATGACCAAGTCCAACATTCAATTTCATTGTAGACTATCTAAGATACACCTAATTTTGTTGAGTACTATTAACAGTGTTCAGTACACTAAAAAATAACCCACATAGTTATACCTAGCTACAACTATCAATATTGTAACATTACAATTATTATTGAGTTAATATCCAAAAAGGTCCTCGACTATAGTGGTTTTTCTCAATTTCATCCTAAACGATTTTGGTGACCTAATATCGTCCCAGATTTTTGAATTTCGCTCAATTTAGTCCCAGACTTTTGTGTTTTTGCTCAATTTAGTCCCTCATTTGTTATTTTGTCCATTTTGTGTTAAATAAATAGACAATTCAGTAATTTTAATATTGGCATCTCTTTACTCATAGACATGTGAACTGCGAAATCCCTTTTTTTTTTTACGAATTACTCCCAGAATTACTCTTAAAACTGTGAATATAAAATTTGATTTGCAGGTCCGGGAGTAATTCTGGGTGTAATTCGTACAAGAAAGAGGAATTTCGCACTTCACAAGTTGAAAGTAAAGAGAGATCAATATTGACATTACTGAATTGTCCCTTAATTTAATACCAATTTGACGGAATAACAAATGGAGGACTAAATTGAGCGAAACACAAAAGTCTGGGACGATATTAGGTCACCAAAGTCGTTTAGGACGAAATTGAGAAAAACCACTATAGTCGAGGACGATTTTGGGTATTAACTCAATTATTATTATATGTATGCCTAACCAGTATAATAAATAAATGAACCTTTGAAATTTATAGATCAGCTAGAGCAAACCTAGAAATTCGTGGAATTGTAATAATTTTTTTTTCTAATCACTTAATTTGGATGTGTTTGGTTCGCACATGGGAATCAGAATCAGAATCAAATACTTGGTAATGGTAATGATTTTGGTGAAAGTATTTTGCATGTTTGGTAGTATGGTGGAATTGAAATGATTATTAATATTGATGTTTGGTTATGTATGACCCTATAATGGGAATAAAGGTTTTAAAAATAAAAAAATAAAAAACTAAGCCAATAGATCCTAATACAATGACATCCAAAGCACCATATGAACAAAAAAAATCAAAACAAAAATCTAAAAACAATAATCCAAACTTAAAAATCAGATTACCAATAACATGGAATGATACTCATTTTTAATTAAGAAATGAGATTTTCAATTGATGGCGTAATCAAATTCCATAGTTGTGTTTTAAAAAGTTGTCAACCAAACACTAACTATAATTTTGATTCTCAATTCTAATGTGTAAACCCATGGGCCAAACACACCCTAAATTTTATTCCATAGAATTTAAATTACATTCTTCAATTATTTTCTGCAAACCAAACCGATTGTTGCAAATTTTTAAAATTAAATACAATCTTTTTTCATACTCGTAACATATTGTCATAAATATCTAAATATATTCATTAAATTGGTAATATTATAACTACATTAGGTATAAAATAAAAAATTAAAAAACTCGATTAAGTCCCATGAACTGCTTGAGCCAAGTATTAAGTGGCTTGAAATCAACTAGACTCATTACTTGAACTACTCGGACGCGCTCAAGCTCAGTTCAATAGTAACCGAATCAAATTTAAAATTTTAAATATTCAATTCGTCGAATCAAGTTTGAATAGTTAACGAATAACTTGGTTCATTTACCCATTCGATTTCATGTTCCTACTATACGTAATAATGTATTATAAGTAATTTTTAACAACATATACTTTCAGTGATAGAGTACAAATTGGTTATTAGAAATGTCAAATTTAGTGTTTTTTTTTTTTTTTGTTTGAGTTAATTTATTTAATTAAACAAGAAAATATTACGCCTGAGATTTGTTTTGGTTCCTTTATTAAAATTGAAAACATAATAATAATAATAATAATAATAATAATAATAATAATAATAATAATAATAATAATAATTCCTCCTTAAAAAATTAAATTTCCTGAATAAAATTTAAAATAATTTTTTATATTTAAAAAATACATGAATAACTTTTTAATCGTACCAAACAAGCTTGTTTAAGAAAGTAAGAATAAAATTATAGAAACTTAAACTCGAACTCAAGATCCACATTATACAAAGTCACTTTGAGTGGAGATCTTTAAGCTAACCAGTTGCACAATAATAAACTTACCGCTAAGGTTGGATTTTATATTTAAATATATTAAGAATACTTAAATAAAAAGTATAAACAAAAAGTATTAAACAAAAATTGGGGTGGGAGAGAATTGAACTCCCGACCTCTGGAACTCTCACCGAGTGAATTTTTCTTTAACAATTCATTAACACCATGAGCCCAGCGTACTAGCCAACTGCACTACCACCCCAGATGTTAACAGTGATCAATTCTTTTTTATTTAATCCAAAAACAATTAAAGAAATATATTAATTAACAGAAAATTAATTAGCCTTACATTATCTACTTTCAAAGAAAAACCAATTAAAGAAATCTATTAATTAGCAGAAAATTAAGAAGCCTTACATTATCTTCTCACCGCTTTTCTCTCTTCTTTATTTACAAAAATATTTATTATATTATTATAAAATATATAATTGTAATGTTGTGAATTATAAATTACAATGTTTTAATTTATAAATTACTACTACTTTTATAATCAACTTTATTATGTAATGCGGTACTCACATGTTGATCTTTATACATACCCATTATTCTTTACAATTTTAAATCTAACCAAATAATGAAATCAATATTTCAGTAATTTCTTTCATACCAACAACATAATAGAATCAATCTTCTAAGTAAATTCTATTCTATAGAATTTAAATTACATTCCTATTCAATTATTTTTCGCAAACCAAACAGCTGGTTAACTAAATATATTCTTTTATTTATTTATTTATAGCTAATAGACATAAATATCTAAATATAGTAATTAAATTTATAATATTATGATTATATTAGGTATAAAATATATAAAATAAAATATTAAAAAACTCAACTAGTCTCTTTTTATTAAATATATGTCTTTTATTTTAATATTTTGGTTTCTAAAATTGGGGGTGTTACACACCTTTTGTTGGAATAAAACATTCTTGTTACTACAACTAGGTTCTTTTAGGCACTTTGCGCAAATGAAATAATGCCCAATGATTATTTTTAAATAAGTATTTTAAAGTATATCAATTCAATATTATCGGAGATGTTCATGCATAGGTAAATAAATATTGAATTTGTTTATTTAAATCGGTAATTTAAAGTATATAAATGCAAGATAATATATGAGAGATTGATTTTATTTTCACTAAAATAAATGTTTGTAACTTTGTAATAACGCTAGTCTAAATACTTATTCTAAAAACGATAGTCTAAATAAATACTACTTTTGGTTTAAATTTCTCTAATTCTTCTTAATTCTCTTGTAGGTAGCATTGTCATTGTCTTCATCTTCAGTAAATGCCCTTTTTTTTTTATTTTATTGGTAGTGTGTCATGTGCAATTAGGTTACCGGTGGTATGATAGATGAATTCATCATGCAATAAGATTATGATGTATGAAGCTTTAGATTTGTCTTGTTGTGTATATGATGAGATCTTAGTTGTACTATTAACTCTATATCTTACAAGCACCTATTGATATTTGATAGTGGTATTTTTTTCCCTACATGTTTCATGCGCTGTGTGATGTGTGTCGTAGGATATCATGTGAAAGTATTGAACAAAATATTAATATTTATTATATTTGTATAAAATACTTGGTAAATAAATAAATAAATAAATATATATATATATATATATATATATATATATATATATATATATATATATATATATATATATATATATAACATATTTTGTATTATAACTTTATATTTAATTACAAGATAATGTAAAAAGAAGACAATAGAGAATATAGTGAATATAATAAATTAATGAATTTAAGGGTAATGAATCTTTGAATTGTAGAAAATAAAGATAATATAACTAATGAAATTATATCTCTTTTTAAATTTTTTATAATGAATAATTTTTTTTAAATAAAAGCATTATAGACATCTAATTCTAAATTAATTAAATGCATATTTATTATTATTTTTTGCTGTAGCTACTACTTTATTTAATTTAATAAGAGTAATAAAGTAGTTTTCATCAACAATAATGAAATCATTGATTTTCTTTTTTAATTTACATTCGTTGTTAAGACAAATTGTTTTGAGAGTTTGTCGATGATAATTGTTACGATTCCTGTCAATAGAGGATGACGATAAATAATTCAAAATATATAGTTACAATAGATATTGTTATAATGATATAGTAAAAATTAACTTACAAATTTCTTTTGAAGTTTTCATGCATTGGTAAAATTATGATGTGTAAACTTGTTCGATAATGGGAGCCACTGGGATGCCAACATTGTCAATTCGTTAGAAAATGGTCCTACCGTTTTAGAGTCCAGGTGTAATTGTATTTATGATTAACAACTTTGTAGTTAGGTCGCGTAGGCCTGACAATGATGTAAGAACAATTTTGTCCGATAAAAAAAAATAATAGTATAATATTTGTAAAGTAATGTACAATTGTACCATTATAAAAATACATATAATAAATATTAATACCATAAAGACCTAAATCATATCAATAATGCAAAAGTATAATTGTAATATTAAGTTTTGTTCTAATCTAAATAATCAAAAGAAGATTAATTAAACGAAAAAAAATTAACCTAAATTTGTTTTTATTATTATTATTATTATTATTATTATTATTTTGAAAACCAAAGGAAATAACTTTCTTAAACCAAATGCTCGATACAAGAAGGAATAGTAAATAACCAAATGAAAGGACCAGTTTGAGAACGAGCCGCCCTAGAAATGAACTGAATAGACACTCTTTCAAGGTGTCGTTGAATATCCCGGCATTCACTGATGATACATCCTGTAAACGTATAATTCGATGATGAACCTTCAAGAATTTGCACACTGTTTGACAGTCGGAGTAAACCGTAATCTTCATGGGATAGTTATGCTGTGCATCCGTATGCACCATGCATGGTGCATACGGATGCAAAAACGACGTCGTTTTATTAAAAACGCGCATCCCACTTAAAAAAAATTCTGTTTCGATTCCCCTCAACAGCATTATGTTGTTCATTCATTCTGGAATTTTAGTTCATAGATTCTGGAATTTTAGTTCATAGATTCTGGAATTTTAGTTCATCGATTCTGGAATTTTAGTTCATCGATTCTGGAATTTTAGTTCATTCATTCTGGAATTTTAGTTCATTCATTCTGGAATTTTAATTCATAGATTATGGAATTATAGTTCATAGATTCTGAAATTTTAGTTCATATTTTGTTGTTGGGAATCAAAACTGATTTTTTTTAAAGTGAGACGCGCGTTTTTAATAAAACGACGTCGTTTTTGCATCCGTATGCACGGTTGGTCCTTCAACTTTTAAAATTTAACCACCTGTGGTCCTCTTGAAAGGACCATGGTTGGTTAAATTTCAAAAGTTGAAGGACCACGGGTGGTTAACTTGGACCTCGAATGGTTAAATTTGAAAGTCGAAGGACCACAGATGGTCAATTTGAAAGTTTAGAATTAAACGTGACAAAACCACTATACTCGGAGGTCCTCAAATGATATTAACTATTGTTAGACAGTTAGATATTTAAGCCTTGTTAGAGTTTATTCAGTGGCTGTTAGCTACCTCTTTGTTAGTTCTCTCTGTATAAATAACTCTGTAAATCTCTCTACTTAAATATGTAAAACATTGTTTACCAATCACTCTTCTAAAATTGTATGTCTTTTAAGTGTTAATTTCACCAGAGGTCCCTTATCTTTGGTGACAATTTCAAATTTAGTCCAGACTATCGTTTTTGCCATTTAACATCCTAGAGACAATTTTAGTCCTTCTCAAGAATTTTATTAAAGAGTAAAAGACATTTTTGGTCCTAGACTTATAGTGGCTTGGACAATTTTAGTCCTTTACAAAAAAATTTGCCATTTTATGGACAGAGTTATTGTGGCGAGGACATTTTTGGTCCTCCGTCTATATTTCTGTTAGATAACCGTATGAGAGAGGGGCAATTACGTCAATTTAGGCTATCTCTTTATTATGAGATGGACGATTTTGGTCCCACAACCATGCCTTTACTCTGACCCTCATTTATTTGTAGTTTTGCACTACGAAATGCTCTGCCCACAACCATGCCTTTACTGCAACTTGGACTCTCCGACTCCTTCGAATTATGACCGAGAAGAAAACAAAACACACATAGATATAATAGATAGAAGGAGATAGCCTAAATTGACGTAATTACCCCTCTCTCAGACGGTTATCTAACAAAAATATAGACGGAGGACCAAAAATGTCCTCACCACAATAACTCTGTCCATAAAATGGTAAATTTTTTTATAAAGGACTAAAATTGTCCAAGCCACTATAAGTCTAGGACCAAAAATGTCTTTTACTCTTTATTAAATTTACTAATTTAGTAAGGACTTTTCTTATCTCTTCATATTTTTCTTTTGTTATTTTTCCAGATTCAACCAGTTTAATTGATTTAGGACTTTACTAAAAACTAGTTGAAAAATATAGTTACTAAAAATTAGAAATTACCTAAAGTCCTAAACCAATTCAACCGGTTAAAATTAGAAAAATAACAAAAGAAAAATATTAAAAGACAAAAATGCCATTACTAAAAATAGAAAAGTCATGAGCAAAACTAAAACATGTCCAAAATATAATAGTCTCGGATGTTAAATGACGAAAACAATAGTCCGAGACCAAATTTGAAATTACCACCAAAGACAAAAGATCTTTGATAGAATTAACTGAGTCTTTTAATTATAATAATGTATTATCAGTAATTTTTGACTATATATATTTTTAGTGATAGGGTAAAAATTAGTTATTAGAAATAAAATGTCAAATTCGAGTTAATTTGTTTAATTAACCAAGTAAATATTACGCGTTTCTTTATAATAATAATTGTTGGTTTTCACAACCTCGATGGCTGCTCGGCAGACCAACACTACTGAATAATGAAATAGGAATGTTTATGCGAGATAGTGAAAATAAAGATAAGACAATAGAGAGAGAATAATGCGATATTATTTCTCTAGGGTTTGGCCTTCAAAGTACCGACCTCTTACATGATGATCCCATGGGGATATTTATACATAGATGTAGGTACATGGTAAGTAGGGCTGGCGTGCAATCGAGCCTAAAGGGGGATAGGGCTGACGTAAGGGCTGATGTGCTGTCAGCTTACTGCATTTTCCGCATGAACTAATTATGGAAGCTGCCTAATGAGCTAAGATCACTTTCGTAGAATCCGTTGAACGCGTTTCTGGTGTGTGCCCG